CATGATGATCATCATTGTCGATATCTATTATTACACAACGAGGTAAATTCTCTCTCTCTCTCTCTCTCTCTCTCTCTCTCTATCTTCATCCAAAAATGATGAAATAAATGAATGAATGAAAATTTCAATTAATAAAATGAAACAAACAAAAAAAAAGGTACATTAATCGATGACAATAGCAGAAAAAAAATGAAAAGTTCACAGAAAAAAAAATTTCCAATTTGAAATTGGCTAACGCCAAATGACAAACGAACGAACGAATGACAAAATAAAAAAACGAAACGACAAAAAAGAAAAATCATAGAATTTCATTTCATTTCATTTCATTTAGAAAATTTTCTGCTTTTTATATTAATTTGAAATAAATTTGTTTGAAACAGTAAATGAAACGAATGGAACGAGAAAAAAATCAAAATGAAAACAACAACGATGATATGATTGGGGAGAGAGAAAAGAAACTGATGACAATTATATTAACTTTGATGATTCGTTATTTGGCTTGTTGTTTTTTTCTGAACTTTTTTTGACGTGTTCTGTTCTGTTGTTGTTAGTCCAGTTGACATTTTTTGTTTGACATGTTTGTTTGAAACTATACTGTGAACACTTTGTTTGACCACTCGCTCACTCTCAAATCAATTCTGTCATTGTTTTTGTTTTTGTCCAAATCAAAATCAATGATGAAGATGACGCTTGTAGAATATTTTTTCCCTAAATAAAAAAACAAAACAAACTTAATTGACAAGTAAATCGATGTGATGATATGAACCAAAAGCGGAGAGAAGTTGAGAAAAACTCCGTGTACACTTATCATCATCATCATTTCATTCACACTTTATCATTTTGGGAATTTCAAACCAAACAGAAAAAAAACCGGACAAACAAAAAACAAAGCAAGAATTAATCTTCGAACCAAAAAAGAGACAAGAAAATATGTTTCTGCATTAACACTACGGCTGCTGCTGTTTGGTTCAAAGTCCTAAAACTTTTTTTTTCTGAAAGATCCAAAAGATAAATGAAAAAAGAATACCCATAAACAAAAAACAAAAAACAAAAACCGATCGATCGATTTCCGAAAGGAAACAAGTGCATATATAGATAGAGAGAGATAGTGGAAGAAAACCTTGAACGAAAAACTAAACAAAACAAACACACATTATCAGAATAACCATATTGTTGTTGTCTTTTTTTTTGTAATCAAAAGCAAACTGAATATATTGAATTGGTTATATTTTTTGATCAATTAGATTAATTAGAATTACCAAAATTGATAAATAATTTACCATCACAGCAGCACATATGATAATGATCTATGATAATGTGTCGTTGTTGGTCCCATTATCATAGATAATAATAATTGAAAAAAAGAACGAAAGAAAGAAAAATGAATGGATGGATGGATGGATGGATGCTTAAATAAATACAGTTTATGGGTTGTGTACGATGATGATGATGATGGATTTTCCATTTCATTCAACGAAAACAAAAAAACGAGAGAAGAAAATTACCATGTTTGGCCAGGACAGTTACACGAAAACAGAGAAAAAAAAATGGGAAAAAAGAAAAAAATTGATAGTAGTTTTTTCTGATAATGAAAAAAAAAACAAAAAACATTCCAATAAACATTGAGAGAGAATATTCCTCCTCTCTATAGCTGAACAATGACACACATATTTTTCGTTTTTGTTTTTTTCAGTAAATAGAATATTCCATGATCCTGATTAATTGCATTTTTTCGTCGTTTTGTCGTTTTTTTTGTTTTGTTTGTTTGTTTGTTTCTGTATCGAAATGTAAACATTACACAACATCACAGCATAGAAAACCAGAGAGAACACATCCAACAGAATTTGTTTTATTTTTTGGCAAAACTAAACTGACTGATTGACCGTATTTGTTTGTATTTGTTTGTATTGTTTGCCATTCACTTTCACTCACTCACTCACTCACTGTATGTGTTCCAATTGGAACCATTTTCATCATTGAATTCTTACCAAAAAAAAAAAGTCTGATTTTTATTTTCCATTTTTTCTTTTGGTCTATGGCGAATGTTGGCAAACAATAATCATATTTTCCAAAAATAATCAAACAAACAATCGAAAAAAAATTGGAATATTTTAAAATATTGATTGATTTTTGCATATGAATTGACGTCAAGATTGAATAATTGATGATGAAAGAATTTTTGGTGAAAAATTAAAAACATTCTTTTTTCAAATCATTTTGTTTGTAAATTATTATTTCAGCCAACCCCTTTATTGGCCAAAAAGTGTTAATTGTATGGCCAAAAGTTTATTTAACACGTTTGGCATCGATGATTTTTTTTTTTGCATATGAATAGAATCTATTTAAGAAAGCCAAAAACTTTTCCAAAGAAGAAAATTTTCAAAACCAAAATAATAATAATAGAATTCTTTTGTTGTTTTCTCTTTCTCTCTCTCTTTTCAACCCTTTCTATCATCATCATCGATCAAAAATCTGATTTTTACAAAATAAACAAACAATTCATCATGATAATCAACCAAAGGCTAGTTCTGGATTGAAAATGCAAAAAAAATTTTTGACGAGAATTTTTCATTTTTCCATCAAATATTAATGTAATAAGGCAAAAGTTTCGTAATCCATCATAAATACCAAGGGAAATTCAATCAACTCTTTCTTCTTTTTTTTCTGTTTGTTTCAGTTGATCTAACCCGAAATGATAATGTCAAACAAAACAAAAAATGAGAAAAAAAATGAGAAAAGATTAAATTTTCCTACGCTAATTTGAATAATCAGCAAGGAAAACAAACAAACTTTAAAAAATTCATTAAAAAAAAAAGTTAAAAAATCAAAGATTTTCAATCTAAAAATATTTTGTTTTGTTTACTTTTACTTTTATCTAGCAAAAAAAACAAACATAAAGTAAAAGTTTGCTAATCTGATACCTTGTTTGGATGCTGAAACGAAACGAAAACAACACAACAACAACAACAACAACAGCCAAAAACAATTATGTTTTTAATAAAGAAAAATTTTAAATTTCTAATCATATCAATAATGATGACTACAATTATAACAATATTGGTTATTATGATTATAATGGCCATTTGTGGTCAAGCTTATTCACAACAACAACAACAACAACATCATCATAATCATAATCATAATCATCGACAACAACAACATTCACAACCACAAGCATCATCAGATCAACAACAGCACAGCATAACGGTAAAAAAGAATAGTGATTATCATCCACAGAATGAATCATTATCATCATTATTATGGCCATTATCAATGACAAATAGTTTATCAACTGAATCGATTATGTTGATTAATAATGAAACAACATCAATATTGTTGTTGGATAAATTATCATCAACAAAAACAACGAAAGCAAAATCATCAACAACAACCGAACGTCAAAATAATGAAGAATATTTTTCCTATAATGTACAAATAATATGGTCATTAATATTTGGTATAATGATAACCATTGGTTTATTAGCAAATTTATTAGTAATGGCAACTATTGGTGGACATAAATCATTACATACAGTAACAAATTGTTTCTTACTTAATCTTACCGTTTCGGATTTAGTTACATTATTATTTAATGCAATATTTAATTTTGTTTTTATGATTACCGGAAATTGGCCATTTGGTAATCGTTATTGTATTGTAAATAATTTTATTACAAATTTAACTATTGCAATATCAGTATTTACAATTATGTTTACAAGTAAAGAAAGGTTTGTATTTGTTTGTTTGTAATTATATTATTTTTACTTATTTATAAACTTTGTTTAGTAAAAAAAAACAACTTATTAATTTAAATCAAAAAATTAATTATAACAGCCCACCATCCATAATAAGTCAGTCAGTCAGTCAGGTTTCTTTTAATTATCATTTTTTTTTTTGTTTATTAATAAAAACGGATTATTTTGAATGAAGAAAAAAAAAGAAAATCCGGCCCATTTGGAAAATGATGATGATATTTTCCAATTTTCTTCACATAATATCAATGTATTTTAATGATCTTTAAAGAGCAAAGAGCAGGAGAGAGAGAGAAGATCATCAAGAATAAGAAAAATGATTATACGAAAGTTTCAATGAGAAATTCTTTAAGAAATGTGTGTGTGTGTGTTAACATCCTAATAATAAAAAAACGAAAAAACTTTTGATTACAGTTTCTTTCTCTTCTTTTATTCAAGAATAAAATATAAATAAATAAAAGGTAGAGAAAGAAACTGATAAAAAATTCATTTTATAATGGAATAGAATGGCGAAAGATTAAAGAATTTTCTTTCTTTGGTTGTTTCTTTCTTTCTTTCTTTTCTCTTATCGTTTGATGATAATAACATGATGATGATGACATGGTGGTTAACGAATAGCGAGCGATCAACAACATTTTTGCATGATTCAATCAAAAAAAAACCCGAAAATCCGGATACCGACAACAACACACACACATTCTATTCTATTAAAAAATGATGTGTTCGTGCTTTTGTTGTTGGTTGGTTGGTTTGTTGAAAAAAATAAAACGATAATAAAACGTGACCATTATTTTGGCTCCAGGATAGTGTATTGAATGTAATATGTATTATGTGCGTTCGTGTGAAAATGAAACAACAACAATAACAACAAAAAATCTTTTTTTCAGAATACATCCAGAAGGTGTGTGTGTGTGAGTGTGTACATCATGTTTATCTATCTGAATTTATGTTTTATGTAAATATATGAAAAGAATGGGAAAAAAATGGCGAAAGAAAAATAATAATAATAAATTTTCAATCTTGGCTTTCACTTTCTCTTTTTTTTTGATAAAGTTAACGGTAAATATAAAAATGAGCCAAGATGAATAGTGAGGATTATCCTTTTTTTGTTGAAAAAATATATTAGCTATTTTTGAAACATTTTTTTCTTTTGATAGAGTTAGTCAGAGTTTTTAATGTCTTTTTTTTCGTCATCAACAGCAGCAGAAAGAAAGCATCTAAATCAGGAATCCTGGCTGATTCAAAAAAAAAAATTCATTGTTTTTTCCTCTCTCTCACACACTCACATGCACACAGTTCATCAATCTAATAATCAAATGATGATTTTTCCTGTGAAAAAAACTACTAATTGAACACACACACCACACCAACCACCAAACCACAAAGCAATAATGAAATCTCATGTCAAACATCATCATCAAGTAATAATAAACTTTCAAAAAACCAGAAAACCAGAAAAAAAAATCGAAAATTGATTCAATAACCACCACTATTCGATTATTGCTTGATTTATTTTTGTGATTTTCGATCTTTTTCGTTTCTTGATTCTTGATTTTTTCTTGATTTCTTGATTTTCTCGATCTATACATTCTATGTATTAGATTAGATTTCTTTTTTTTTTGATTTGTTGGATCGATTTCAGTGTAATAATTTTTTCTTCCTGTTTTTGGTTCTACTCTTGATCGAATCAAAATAGAAAAATAAAGGCTGCAAATCGAGATCAACCGAAAAAAATCGGTTATGGTTTGAAATGATCATCAATCATCATGCTCAAATGATTATTATTATTATTATGAATGGATGATTGGTTATATGGTTGCTGAGTGGTTAACAAAACAACAAAAACAACAACAAAAAAAGTTGTTGAAAATAACAAATTTTTTTTTTGTTTTTGACATGTTAACCCGAATGTGATTCGGAAATGATTATTATGATTATTATTGATTAGCGATTTAGTAATAGATGTTAAGATCTTTCATTTTATTTCTATGAATTTCTTGAAAGTGATGCTTACATTATTTTGTGGGGGGAGTNCAAACCACAAAGCAATAATGAAATCTCATGTCAAACATCATCATCAAGTAATAATAAACTTCCAAAAAACCAGAAAACCCAAAAAAAAAATCGAAAATTGATTCGATAACTACCACTATTCGATTATTGCTTGATTTATTTTCGATCTTTTTTCGTTTGATTCTTGATTTTTTTTCTTGATTTTTGATTTCTCGATTTTCTCGATCTATACATTTCGTGTATTAGATTAGATTTCTTTTTTTTTCTTTTTTTTGATTCGGTTGGATCGATTTCAGTGCAATAATTTCTTCTTCCTGTTTTTTGGTTCTGCCCTTGATCGAATCAAAAAGAAAAAGAGAAAATAAAGGCTGCAAATCGAGATCAACCGAAAATCGGTTATGGTTTTTTTTTCGAAATGATCATCAATCATCATGCTCAAATGATTATTATTATGAATGAATGAATGGATGATTGGTTATATGGTTGCTGAGTGGTTAACAAAACAGCAAAAACAACAACAACAAAAAAAGTTGTTGAAAATAACAAATTTTTTGTTTTTGTTTTTGACATGTTAACCCGAATGTGATTCGGAAATGATTATTATGATTATTATTGATTAGCGATTTAGTAATAGATGTTAAGATCTTTCATTTTATTTCTATGAATTTCTTGAAAGTGATGCTTACATTATTTTGTGGGGGGAGTGGAGTGTTGAATATCTTTTTTGTTGTAGGAATAAATTCAGATTGATTTTCCGAAAACAAAATGATCCGAATGTTGATGGTGGGGGTGGTGTGATGCAAATTGAATTGGTTGAAGGAAAAAAAACGATTCAAGCGATCATTACTTGTTGGTTGGTTGGTTTATCCGACCATGTTTTGTCAGCAACATTATTATGTTTCGAATGCATTGATTGATGATGATTTTAGGGAAACACCGAACCGAACCGAAAAACATTTTTTTTGAGCGAGATAAACATCTAGGGATTATTATTATTATTTAAGGAGGAATAAACATGTAGAATCCAAACTTACCCCCCATCCACAACAAAAAACATACGATCCATAAACAGGCTCTTTATCCTTGTTGTTGTTGTTTTTGTTTTCGACCAAGTTAAGATCATCATCATTAACAAATTGATAGACTCTTTTACTATTAATAGATGTATAAATTCATTGATAATTGATTATCTGTTATTATTGTTATTGATTAATTTGATGAATAAATATTCGTTTGTTCGTCTATATTCCCAAATTCCCATATAAATAAACCAAAAATTGATCATCATCGTTCGATTTTGTTCGTTCGTTTGAAATAGATATAATGCAATAGTACATCCACTTGAAAAACGTATGACACAACATCGTGCATTAGTACATATACTGATAATATGGATAGCTAGCGCCATCTTTGCCATTCCAGCATTAATATTTTCTCGAACATTACGTGATACATCAATACAAAGAACTGTTTGTTTGATTGTTTGGCCGGATGGTTATCCCGGGAAATCTCGTTTAGATTTTTTGTAAGTAAAAATTTTTTTATTATTGTAATTCAAGGTACATTTAATAATAATAATAATAATAATGTTTCTTTTTTTTGTTTGTAAATTTTAGTTATAATCTTTTATTTTTGGTATTAACATATTTACTGCCATTAATGACAATGGCTATTGCTTATACATTAATGGCTCGTGTATTATGGGGTAGTAAACAAATTGGTGAAACAACACAAGCACAAGCTAGTCTTGTACGTTCAAAACAAAAAGTTGTACGAATGTTAATTTGTGGTAAGTTTTTGTTTGTTTTTTTTTATCAAACATCTTTTTGTTTCAAAATGACTTTATGTTTAATGTTTTGTTTTGTTTATTGTTGTTTTTTTTAGTTGTAATTGTATTTGCTGTTTGTTGGTTACCATATCATGTTTATTTTCTAACAACATATCAATGGCCTGAATTAACAACATGGCCCGGTATACAACATATATTTTTAGCTATTTATTGGTTAGCTATGTTTAATTCGGTACTTAATCCAATAATATTATTATTAATGAACAAAAGGTTAGTGAACGGATAAATTGTATAAGATTTATTCATATTTGGATTTTTTTTTATATTAAGATTTCGACGTTATTCAACAAAATTTCTTAATTTTTGGCCACTTAATCGAGCTTTTAATGCTGAAACAACATCAACACAAACAACAACGGCTGTTGCTGCGGCTGCCGCAGCTGCTGCTGGTACTGCCGGTACTGGTGCTAATACACAACAACCATCTACCAACATCAACAATAATAATAACGGTATTGCTGTGAATGGTCAACGATCTACAAATATGGTTTTAGTTAAATCACATAGTCCAAATTTTAATCGTATTTCAAGTGAATTATTTATAAATGGTGATATTAATTATAAAAATGATCAACATTTGGCCAACACAACAACAACAACAACGACGATGACAAAAAAATTATTACCTCAAAATAGTATTAAAATATCAAAACAAACATCATCATCAACAACAATGCCTATTGACGATGAAAATATTAACAAAAATACTTTTTTATCCGCATTAGTTGTACCTGATTAACGACAATATGAATTAATTGGGGGGTGATTGATCTGGATTCTAAAATGATTCTTGAACCCGAAAAAGATTCTTGAACCCGAAAAAGATTCTTGAACCAAAAAAAAAAAAAAAAAAAAAAAATGAAAAAAAAAAAAATTCATTACTGCGATTACTTTGTTTGAAAAATTTTTTTTT